GCCTTGGGAGTTGTGAAGTGAAAGATCCAGCAGCAGTAGACGTACACGTTCCGACTTGGCAATTTAAATTAGGTCAACGCATCGGAGTAGATGCGTTTCTGAGACAACTTGTTTGTCTTAAATCAGGCACCTCATTTATAATTCAAGGATCTTAAACTGGTAAGCGTTAGGGAGAGAGACGCATCCGTGTATTTGTATAGTTTAACGCTGCTTGTCTGAACGCACGTTATTCTTAAGCAGTCAGCAACAGAACACTCCAATTGTTTTCAATAGTCCTTGCAAAGATCAAAAAAACCCCCAAGAGATGTTGCGCCATGTCAAGCCCCAGAATGACAGCAGTGTCCGCCCCATCTTTCCCTTTACCCTCCGTGGCAATATTCACCGTTAGGCTTTTGCTGAGCCTCGCAGCCGGGCATCAGGCGGGCAGAGTGGCACGGAGGCCGCTAGCCTGGGAACGTGGGGCTCGCCCGAGTATGCACGCGCTGTATCCGAGCGTGTATCACACTGCTGCCCTTCCTGCTCTCCCAACCATAACGCTGGGCAGATTTTTTAAATTGCAAGTAAACTTTGGACATTTTCAGGCATGAGAAGTTAACTTTTTTCCGGAAATGAATGAAAACTTGGGGAGAAACAACTGCAGTAGCTACTTCTAACCAGTCTTATTCTTGTAATGCAGCTAGCGTGTAGAAAACTGCCAGATGCATTTATAAGCTGGCATTTAGATTGTCTGCTTTATTAAAGATGGAGCTGTACTTTACAATTCGTACCTACTTACGTTCTTCTGAAATATGAAGAATGGGGGAAATACTGAAACTGAGCAGGATTATTGTTCAGCAGTTTTGTTTTATTAACATAGTGGGTTTAACTGTTAAAATACAGGTAAACCTCGTCACTGAAAACAAATGTAGTTATCTCCCTGTAGACTTCTTTTATACAAGCGCTTCATACGCTCTGAGTCAAAATGAAGCAGTTCAGAAAGTATGTAATAACTTTATAAGATTTTTTTCCTTTGGCTGGAAAAACAAACACAAAACCAGTACGGAAAGGCCGGCGGTATCCATCATGGGGGTAATAACAGCAGGTACTTGCATATCCGTTTGCAGAGTACGTCCCTGCTATAGATCATAGTTAAACAGCATACAAGGAGCAGATGTGGTTTTTCTTTTTTCAGCCTCTTCTTTACTATTAGGCAATCATCTAGAAGCTTGAACTGCCCATCCCACCCTTTATTCCATATGGAAGAAAATTATTTTAGGAAGAAAAGGGATACTAATAACTTACCTGGAAAGAACTTAGAGTTTTCTACTATAGATACAGCTCTTAATAAATAACTTTTTCCTACTATGTTAAAAAAACATTTAAAAGTGAGTGGAACACAGATCATCTCAGTATGGAATTTTAGCTGGAAGAATGAGGGTAGAAACAATACTTGCCAGTTTGCAGTTTAAAGTTGAGTGTATTTTAACTATAAAGCAGGTGAGAAAACTCAAGTTTGCCTACTAATCCAACAGCCAGAGAAGTGTCAGTTGTCTCCAGAAGTACAACAGCAAAGAACTTGTTATGAAATAAATACCCGTGAAGCACCGTATGTGCCACACTGTGTAAGATCCACTTGAAAGCGTAAAATAAATGAAGAAAACATTCCAATGTGGTCCTTCACTTCAAATTTCCAATTTTCATAGCAAAACCAATCTGCTGAATGAGAAATTGCCTTTTTCATTATAACAGCCTGACAGCCCCAGATACAGCGTATGAGAGAGAGAATGACTGCTAACATACAAGATATCACTCTGATAGCCTTTTCTCGCCAAGTTAAAACTTACCAAAATTCTGACTTAATCTTTTTCAAAAAAACAACCGTTTTCCTGGTGTATGAATAATTACCTACCTGATACATTAATTACAGAAGCAAACAGTTGCAATAACGCTTTTGAAAACAGGAAAGTATCTTGTGCATACACGATCCAAGGAATTTTTTTTTGTTTGTTTTAGTTGAAATGTTGAAATATTTAAACTTCAGCACCTGTGGTTTGAGGTTTCCAGAAAAAGGTTACGGGAAGCTACCAATACAATTAACATATCTCCATCAGGAACATACTCTTGATAATACGAGCCTCGACCTACTGTATAACGCTAGGTAAGAGAGCTCTGAGTCTGAATGATCAGCCAAATGTGGGTAGTAGGATTTGCCTTTTTTTTTTTTTTTTAACTCTTGTAAGAAGTTAATAACTGTGGCGAGCAAGATCTCTCAGATACAAGAAGTTACCTATCTTTAGACCATCATTTTTACTGCTGCACACCATGCTCAACTCCAAATATATTAGCACCAAGCAACTCACCATCCTCCTCTCTGGAAAAAACACTGGATGAGCTCATGGCACCTTTTGCTCGGAGTTCCAAAGGTAAGAAATCGGAGGTTACTGTTACGCTGTGTTGCCTGTAGAGCTGCAGTCCTTAATTCCATTTCCTAAGCTTAGCATCACACCTTTCTTTTATATGTACATATAAACCTATGCTAGGTTTGTATGTATTTATTTTATATATATTTTTATATATATAAACCTATGCTAGGTATTGAAACAAATATTGGATTGCCTTATTGTTGAAGTTCTCTCTCTGTTCTATCGGTATGAGCTGCTAACGTGAAAGCATGACAAAGTGGGGAGATGATTAGCTGTACGAGAGCAGTAAAACTCAGCCAGTCACTCTGTCTTTATGTACCCCCCACTGCCCTTTGAGATACCACGGTCGGGAGCATATTTTCTGCTTACAACTGGAGGAAAGACAGCGTCCATCCAGTATGAGTTTCAATAAAATGAGAAAGAGCAGTTAGCTATACCATTATGTTCCGCTGTTTAATTCTCCCTTCCTTGTGATGTTCTCGCTCTAGTGGTGTAGAACACTTCCTCTGCTAAAACTCTGCCTATGTATTTGTTCCATCCTAGT